TAATCTATTCACATAAAAGAACATTACATATTTTCATTAAATCAAGAGTTGTTTATTGCGCTTAAACAATCCCAATTTTTATGAAAATAACAAACAAGAACACCAAGACATAAACAATCACTTTATAACGAATCTTAAGGAAAACGTTCAACTTATGTGGCTAAGAAGTTCATTTACCTTAAAATTTTACAAAACACAAGTCACAAAAAAGATTCACGTATGAATTCGAAAATTATTTAACTAAAATATGGAGCTAAATTAGCTTCAATGATAACCGAATTCGACATACCAACCTACTTATTAAATCAAATTTATAATTCAACCAATTTAACATCAATTTGCCCAAAAATTGAAGAAACTAGTAAGAATCAATTTTCATTCATAAGGGATTTAATAAAACATAAAAAAACCCATAAAAGAACACCAACCATTTTGGAATTTTCGAAATTCACACAACAAGAAAAAAAACTGTAAATTTGAATTGAAACAACACTTTTACAAAGAAATTGGAGAAGAAAAATAAATTGACAAATATAGGGTTACCAATTGTTGAAGAAGATGAAGAAAACTTGAAGAAATTGGAGCTTGAAGAAACTTCCACACCTATCACCTCCGACCATTGTCGAACGCCGGCGAGCCGTGGTCGGCCGCCGACTGCTTCCTTCTCCAGTGGCGTCAATTGCAGCGGCCAAAGCCGCTGCTAACTTTTCTGTTTGGTGCGATTACCTCCCCCTTTGTTCCCCCACTCCCTCTTTTGAGTTGATGTTGCTCTAATTTATAGCAAGAAGGAGTAATTTACTGTTGAATTACTTCCCGTTGAGAATTGATTATCGTTAAATTGAACGAGCCGAACGTTGGAGCGTGAAGAAATTGGTCCTTCAATCGCCGAAGAAGAAGTCGAAGTCGCTGACTATTTCCTTCGTGCGTGAAACTGAAGAGGAGGATGGAGTCTTGGGCCAATTTTGTTGCTGATGGGTTTGGGGTCCGGCCCAATTTAAATTGCTTCCTTTTAAACTTGAGCTCCAATTTGGTCTTTTGCTACACTTTTCTCCAAAAATAAGATATGTGATAATTTTGGGTTAGGAAAAATAAAATAAAATTAGGACAATAATAAAATGTTAAAAAAAATGATTAAAAAGCTACTATTTTTTAAAGAAAATTAAAAGATTGTAAAAGTTGGAATAAAAGTAAAACTAAGCAAAATAACTAAAAATTAAATTTTAAAAATAATAAAAAGCATAAAATTGAATAAAAAGAACTAACCCAAACCCGACTTATCAAGGGGATTCCTCAATAGTCAATGTACGTTTATTAAATACTCTATAGGCCTTGCAACGTAGTGAGTAACCAAGAAAAATCCCTTCGTCCGACTTGGCATCAAATTTTCCCAAGTTATCTTTGCTGTTATTATGAACAAAACATTTGCAACCAAAGACTCGAAAATGGGAAAGGTTTGACTTTCTCCCTTTATATAATTCATAAGGCGTTTTCATGAGTATCGGTCAATTGACTGCTCGGTTTAACACGTAGCTTGCGGTACTCACGGCATCCACCCAAAAATACTTAGGGATTTTTGCCTCATTGATCATAGTTCTAGCCATCTCTTCGAGACATCTATTTTTACGTTCCACCACTCCATTTTGTTGTGGTGTACGTGGGGCTGAGAAGTTATGATCAATGCCAAGTTCGTCACACAAATCCGAAAATAGATTTCGTTCAAACTCTCCCCCATGATCGCTTCTTATGGCTACTATGGTGGTTTCTTTTTCATTTTGAACTTTCTTTAGAAAATTTTTGAAAACGTGAAATGCCTCACTTTTGTGAGTTAGAAACAAGGTCCATGTAAACCAAGAGTAGTCATCGACAATTACAAACGCAAAGTAATTGCCCCCAAAACTTTTTGTTCTAGAAGGACCAAAGAGATCCATGTGCAAAAGTTGAAGCGGTCTAGACTTTGAAACAACGTTTTTAGACTTAAACGAAGCCCGAACTTGCTTCCCCTTTTGACATGCATCACATATGGTGTCTTTTTCAAACTTATGTTTTGGAATGCCAATTACTAAGTCTTGTGAAACCAATTTGTTCAAAAGGTTCATGTTCATATGAGCTACCCTTCGGTGCCATAACCAAGTGTCTTCTTCTTTACTCATGAGGCACTTGGCAAAGCCGGAAGGTGATTTGTCTAAGTTAACCATGTAAATGTTATCGATTCTATCACCACGTAGAATAACCCTATTATCACTAAGGCGTTCTACCGTGCATGATTTTGAATCGAAGGTCACACGATTTCCCTTGTCACATAATTGACTTATGCTCAAGAGATTGTGTTTAAGACCTTTAACTAGAAAGACATTATCTATAGAGGAGTCATTGGATTTACCTACTGAACCAATGCCGATGATTTTTCCTTTGCTATTGTCTCCAAAGATCACGTTCCCTCCTTTAGCGGGTTTTATTTGAAGGAACTTGGATGCATCCCCGGTCATGTGCTTGGAGCATCCTCTATCAAGGTACCAAAGTACACTTGATGCCTTCAAGCACACCTATGAAACACATCAATGAGTTTTAGGTACCCAATTTACATTGGGTCCTCGTGTGTTGGTGTGTGATGGTAGTGTGCTTGATTTTGTGATATGTGCCTAGGCCAAGTGAAACAAACGAGGGCAATATGGCATATCCTATTGCAATAATGACACACTACATTGGGGTTGTACATGTGCCTAGGTTCATAATAGTTAGAGGGTCTAACCATATTGTTCCTATTTTGTGAAAAAGATGGTCTTTGAAAATTTTGAAATTGACCTTTTCTAGGTGCTCTAACATTATTTCTTCTATTTTGAGAAAAATCGGTTTTATGCATAAAATCATTTTTCTTAGGTTGTCTACCATGAACATTTTCATTCCTAGGTTTTAGTCTAGGTTGTCTAGTGTCCTTAGGTTGACTAGGTTTTCTATTATCCTGATTTTTAAGTTTCTTACGTTGAGCCTTAGGTGGTTGTCTAGGTGTTTGCTCAACGTTTTCTTTAACCTTAGCTTTGTTTTTATTAAAACTTATTCCTTCCTTAGAAAAATGCATAGTGTGAAGGAGTAAATTTAAATCTTTGTGCGGAGTATTAAACTTCTTGACCGTGCTCTCAAGTTTAGAGACTTGTTCTTTTAAAGCTCTACAAGATTCACATTCACTAGAGGAACTTTCAGGTTTGTTAGCGCTTCTTTTTCCAAAAAATTTGTTTTCTTGTTTTAATTTTTCATTTTCTTTTTCCAAATTTTCAAAATCGTTTTCAAGTGTGGAAAGACGTTTCTTTAGGGATTTGTTAGTTTTGGAAGCGCTAACAAATTCTCCATAAAGTTCATGAAGTGCTTCTTGCATTTCTTCAAAAGTATAAGAGTCGGAAGAAGTGGTACATACCTCTTGGACGTCGTCGCTTTGATCTTCGTGCGCCATGAGGCATAAGTTTGCAGCTTCGTCCTCTTCTTGGTCGGTTGATTCGTCGCCAGAATCGCCACCCCAAGAGATGTAAGCTCTTTGCTTCTTGAAGCCGGGCTTGTCCATGTCGTGCTTGGCTTTTGGACATCTCGGCTCGATGTGTCCGATCTCGCCATAGTCGTAGCATTTAGGAGGACCGTCGTGCTTCCTTCCCTTCCGCTCAAATTCCTTCTTCATGAATTTGTGGAACTTTTTGATGACGAGTCCAAACTCGTTGTCATCGTCGCTTGAAACCTCTTCCACCGGTTCCTTGGTGGCTTTTAGAGCTATTCCCTTTTTCTTTTGTTCGTCCAATGATGGATTAAGAATGGTAGATTCGTAAGTTTTGAGATTACCTCTTAACCCATCAATTGTGACGTTGGAGACGCCAATTGACTCGTAGATGGCATCGGCCTTAGAGCGTCATTCAGGAGTCAAGCTGCGAAGGATCTTCCTCACTAGATCCTTGTTGGAGTAGATTTTTTCTTCAAGGCGTGAAGATCGTTGATGATTTTTGAAAAACGGTCGAACATGTCATCGATTTTCTCACCTTCCTTCATTCGGAACATTTCGTACTCGTAAGTAAGAAAATCGATTTTTGCTTCACGAACTTGATCGGTACCTTCGTACGTCACTTCAGGCTTGTCCCACATCTCCTTGGCAGTTGTGCAACAGGAGATCTTTCGGTAATCGTCGGGGTTAACCGCACAATACAACATGTTGAAGGCCTTTGCATAGTTTTCCTCCTTCGTGATGTCTTCGGCATCAAATTCATCCTCGGTCTTTGGGACCGTGGTTTCTCCCACTTTCTTCATCGAGATTTGCTCGCCATTTTTTATGACCAACCACAATTGGAAGTTGGTGGAACGGATATAGATTCTCATCCATTCCTTCCAATAGGAGTAGTTGGTGCCATCAAAAAGCGGTGGCCTAGAGGTAGATTGCCCTTCGCCAATACCTGCGTACAAATTTCTAGAAGAAGAGCCCATGATCTTATTCCTCTCAAACGGTTAAGTCTGGAAGAGATTTAGGCTCCGATACCAATTGTTAGAAAATCGTCCCAACGCTAGAGGGGGGTGAATAGTGTTTGAAACGAAAATGACGCAGGAATAAGAAAACTAAAAGCGTAAAGTAAAGAGCAAGGAAGAGGCACACCGTTTTTACCCTAGTTCACCACAACGTGTGGCTAGTCCAGCCTCCCGAGAGACTCTCTCGAGCTACACTATCAACGTTAAGCTTAACGGTGCCTAACAAACCCGTACAACTTGAGAGTTCGAGTCACATGAACCTCAACAACCTTTCGAAGGAAACAACCCTTCCTTCGAACTACTCAAGAGAAAGAGTTTCTCTTATCAAGTGTCTAAGAACACTAAATCACTCAAGAACAATACTCTCTTTTAGAGTGGATAATGAGTAACTAAAAACGCTCAAGAACACAACACGAACTTCATAAAAATGGCTATCGAAAAGCTATGAATAATGTATGATTGTAATGCAATGAAAAATAAGAATTGTGAAGTAATGTGATGTGTAAAGCAGACCCAAACACCCCATTTTATAGTAGAAAATAGGCTCCAACGGGTAGGAGTTGAATGGGGGTGATTGACACAATTTGTGGGATTTGATTAAAATTGGATCTACTGAAAATCAGCCAGACAGCGCTGTCCATGGCTTGGACATCGCTGTTCTAGGCTTAGATTTTGAAAATCAGGAAGCAACGGTAAAGCCAACAGCGATGTCCAAAAGACCTACATCGCTGTTTTGGCTGTTGACTTCCAAACATGGAAAGTTTTATCCATAAATTCCTTCCAACGGTCAGGTGCCTACATCGATGTTCAGTACTCAAACATCGCTGTTCAGGCCTGACTTTGAAGGATGAGGAAATGGGCTGACATCGTTGTTGGTGGGTAAACAGCGCTCTCCAAAAACTTTCTACCAAAGGCATTTCTTTTTGGCTTAGGTTGGACATCGATGTAGACGGGTCTACATCGCTGTTCCAGATGTTTCTAGAAACCCAACCTTGGCTCAACAGCAATGTCTATAGACCAACATCGTTGTTGGAAGACTTAACGCCAAACATGGTTTTCAGCTGCCCATGCCAGACAGCGCTGTTGCCCATGCCCATGCCATAACAACCAAGTATTGAAAACATTTATTAATGCATTTTGTTAAGAAATTAAGTGAATCATCTTGAAAACCACGTCATTTAGATAAAAACCATGGCTAGACAAGTTTACGCCATTTCACATGGTTTTTACTAAACGACCAAAAACGAAAGGTGGATTTTGAAGCGTTTTTGTTGGAGAACTATTTAAATATGCCCAGAAGTAAAAAACCAATCATAAAATTTTGAAAACCACTTGGTTGGTTCGGACGCCAAAAACCAACGCCGATAACCGAATGCCGAATGCCGGTTTTTGAAACCGAACGCTGGATGGCTTGGTTTTTGGTTTGGGCGAACACCAAGTGTTTTAGGCTTGTTTAAAACTTATGAAAAACAGTTTTGAATATGAAAAATAATATTTTAATGACCGACTCAATTTATTTCTAAGTCTTTGTTCTTGGTTCTTGGTTCTCGGTTCTCAATTTATCGTGCCATGTTCCTTTGCCTTTGATTTGCTCTGTTTGATCTTGTTATCATGGCGGTTTGGCATTATCAAAACCTGTCATAAGACGAACACGGTTTAGTACGACGTAGGCATAAACCCGTGTTCCAACAGTGGTGTTCGACGATTTTAAATTGTTACTACTTATTTAAATAACTTATTACTATTTCGGGCATGATTCCCAAGTTGTGTTTTGAATTATGAATTAAGCTTCCGCAACCGTTTTGATTATTACTCCGATGGATATTTAAATGTTGTTGACTTAAATGTTTTCAATTATTTTGAAAGATTAAGTAGTGTTTGGATACCAAATATAGTAGCAACCCGGATCGCTGACTCGTGTATTCGGGTTATGTGGGTTGGGGTGTTACATTGACTGTTGGATTACAATGGTGTAAACAGAATTGAATTCGGAGAAAAATAGACTAAAAAATGTACCCCAACTGGAACCTAAATTAGTCCCAATCAGGGACACTTTGGAGACTGCGCCTCCCAGCGCACTATGAAGAATCGCCAAAGGAGATTTGCAGTGACAGCCTCGGTGAGAGGTCACCGGACTTGAGAGTAATCGTCGCCAGAAGTTTCACCGGAAAATTTCCAAAACCTCCGTTAAACTTCGAGGTAAGCCTGTAGATGTATCTAATGACTAGAATGTTCATATAGGTCGTTTCTACATTCATAAAAGTCATTTGGTTGAGTTATGTGTTTGACATGCTTGAAGAACTAAGAATCATAAACCTTGAATTTTATGTTAAAACTATGACTTAATGATACCAAAGTGATCTATGAACCTTGGAAAACATTTCTATATACTTTAATTGAAGTTTGGTGACCAAAAATGACATTTCCGTAAGTTGACTCGAGGTAGAAGACGATGAATAATTGATTATTAACTTGAAAATCGACTATTCATCGTTCTTCTGAATTTTGGAACACAACACAGCAACAGTCGATTGTCAAAATGTGACAATCGACTGTCAGCCTTTTCTGAAAGCTGATAATCGACTATCAGAATATGATAATCGACTATCAGCCCATTCTGAACATCAGATGTTTGCACTTCTCTCCGCATTGAATCTTTTTCGCATTGATGTTTTGTTAATGACAAAGCTTGTTTCTGTTTAGGTTTTGATATTGACAAACCGTCGGGTACATGGAACAAAATGAAAATATTCAAAGGGTTAGAAAAAGTTCTTTGAAGGAACAAAAAGCACAATAAAGGCATTGACGTTTCTAAAGATGGTGACATTGGCGTTTTGAAGACGTTTTCTAAAGAGTTAGGTTTTGATTGTAACAAGCTCATTCAATTTCTCTACGTCATGGCTTAAAACAAAATATGTTTTTCATGCATCAAATGAGTGTTCTCATAAATGGTTTTATGTTTCTAAAGCTCCTGGTTCTTGCCCAACCAAAACCATAACCATCGGTTATCGGCGTTCAGCTATGGCGTTCGGTTGTCGGCATTAGTTATTGGCATTGATTTCAGCCAAATGGTTTTTGCGTTTTATCTTTTTTTTTTATTCTGAACACATTGAAAGCTTTTCCAAATCATTAGTTTTGAAAAACCATAACCTTTGTTTTCCGGCGTTGGTTATCGGCATCTGGCGTTGGTTATCGGCGTTGGTTTTTGGCGTCCAAATAAATCAAGTGGTTTTTAGGATTTTATTATTATTTTTACTTCTGGCCATATCCAAATAGTTCTCAAACAAAAACATGTAAAAAACCACCTTTCGTTTTTGGTCTTTTGGTGAAAACCATGTGAATTGGCATAAATTTGGCTAGCCGTGGTTTTTACCTTAATGACGTGGTTTTTAAGTTTTTATACTTGGTTTCTACATAAAATACATTATATAAGAGTTTGCAACACTTTGTTTTCATTTTGGAGAACTTTGGTTTTTGACATCGGTTTTCGGCATTGGCAGCCAAACCATGGTTCTGGCGAACCAGCCCAACATGCATGTCGGAATTCCCAACAGCGATGTTGGCATTCAAAGTTCTTGGCAGTAGGTTTTTGAACAGCAATGTTCATTGTTGAACAACGATGTTTTCAAATGACCGTTGGGCTATTTAATCTTTCCATTTTTGAAAGTCAATCAACCTAACATGGATCTAGACTTCTAGACATCGATGTTTGATGACCGTTAGCCATTTTAAAGGAAGGTCAAAGCCAAAACAACGATGTTCACTATATGAACATCGATGTTAGACCAAAATTCTGTAGACCAACTTTGATTTGATTTCCACAAATCAAGCCAATCAACCCCAATGTTCTGCCAACCGTTGCACCTTGTTTTTGGGTATAAATAGGGGTCTTTTGGGTTTAATTTCAACAACCAATACTCACACATTTCATAGCCTTACATTGCATCATTTAATAAACTCTTTACATAGATTTTAGAGCCATTTCTTTAGGAATTCAGTGTGTTCTTGATCGTTTACTCATATTCTGTTAGAATAAGTGACCAACGCTAGAGGGGGGGTGAATAGCGTTTGATTGTACAAATTGCAGGAATAAAAAATTAAGAACGTGAAAACTAAAGAGTGTAGAAAGGGTAAAGAAAGCACACCAAAATTTATACGGGTTCACCACAACGTGTGGCTAATCTTGTGTCCCGAGATACTGCACTCCAAGACTTCAACCCGAAGGAAAATACCTTTCCTTCGTACAACTAATGTAACACCCTCCGTCCCGCGAACCCGGTTCACCGCGGCCCAACGAGCCGGAGAGGTTACGTAGATGGTTTTAAGACCGTCGACAGGGAAAACCCTTGCGTTGCTTGTAACAGAAAAATCCCTTGATATGAATATTATTCAATGATGGAAATAAGTCCAATTTAAGGGAATGTTTATAGCGAAAGTGTTAGACAAATGTGCAACTCTAGAGGGGGGGTGAATAGAGTTGTTTTCAAGAATGTGCGTTTTTCGCGTGTGTGAAATAATAAAATCGCAGGAATAAATAAAGAGAGTAAGGGAAAGAAGAACACCGAGATTTATACTGGTTCACCACCTCGTGGCTAGTCCAGTCCTCCGAGAGACTCTCTCGAAAGTCCTACTAATCTTCAAGCTTCAACGGGTGCTTGAAAAACCGGTACAACTTGAGAACTTGAATCACACAAGCCTCACTTTCTTACAACAACAAGACTTGAGTCACACAAGTCTTAAGAACAACACTCAAATGAGATTGAGTTTACAACACAAGAATG